GGGGGGGACATATACCAGTAAAGCCAGCATACAGCGGTGACAAGGAACCAGCTGTTCACTGTAAACAATGAGTTTTTTTTTCTTTTTCACAGGTTTCCATAAATAAACAGTTCTGCCCCCAAGGATCCTGATTCTCCAGAACCAGAACCAGGTGGTTGTAATCAAATAGCCACATTCGCGCCAGATTGTTTAGGATCCCTGACCACCGTCAGCGTCGACGCTGCAGATCCGAGTCTCTATCCCTCCTGTGGGGGGCGCTCTCTGGAACGGGAGACCCTCACCGGCTTAGTGGTTGAGCCTGGGAGGCACCAGGGCGAACTCCCTTAAAATGTTCCGTGCCACGTCCACTTTGTTTTGGGCAATCATCAGGGCCCGCTTGACATCCTCGAAGGAGTAGCCCTCTCCCATCAGCTGGGCAATCTTGGCGTCCACGTTCTCGCGGTCCGGCTCCTGCCCGTGGCCCTTCCTCTGGTGCACGTCCGGGGGGGTCTTCCGGGGGCGGGGCTTAGGTGGCCTGGCGGGTGCCTGTATGCCATCTGCGGGCACTGCGGCTGAGGAGGCAGAAAGGGGCGTGCGCCAAGGTTAGCATGATTAGCATGACTGGGGGGATGGACATTAAGATTACATGTGGACTCATTTCCTTTTTAGATATATACCTTTATGGATACAATTACTGTGAACATCCTGACCTCACTCAAGTCTAAATTACAATTGCAATTACCTTATTTAGAGAACGCCCTTATCCAAAGTGAAATATATATATATTTTCAGAAAACAGGGTCAAAACAATCTCTGGAGCAACTGGGGCTCAGGGCCCCAACGGTGACATCACCCTGCCCATTCTGAGATTTGAACCTGCAACCTTCTGATCACTGACACTGTGTCCTGATCCACTGAACCCAACACTGCATCATTCACAGCAAAAACAGCCACGTTGTGAGCACGTCCCGACAGAGCCCGACCTGAGGTGGGGGGCAGCTGGTCATACTCCTGGAGTGACCGGGGGGAGGGCTTCACCATGCCGTCCCCGGTCTGCCTCCTCGCTGGGGGCTTCGGCCCTATGCTGCTCAGCATGTCCAGGAATGGATCTGAAATATGGCGGATGGATGGACGCAGATGAAACTCTGACTGAGAGCAGCCCAAAACACAAAGGAGGGGTTCAAGAGGTGGACAGCCTTACCAGAACCATGCAGGTATGGGTCTGGGTCCGAGACGGGCCTGTGGGCCCGTGAGAATGACGGCGAAGATGAAAGGTCTGTGAAGCTGTGTCGCACAGGTGGAGGCGGTGGAGGCTGCAATGGAGGAGGGTTGAAGAAATCCTCTGCTGTTAAGACAAGTTACAAAGAAAACACACGAAAAACTGAGTTCATTAGGGATACTAAATAAACTGTCATTAAACCTCCTATCCACTAGGTGGCACTAAAACATAACACAACACTATTATAAAATGCAAACATGACACATGAGCTGTTAGTCCTGTAACTGACTTACACAAAAGAGTTAGATTTTTAATAACTTTGTTACTTGAGAAATGTTATATCCAACTTCTTTGGATGAGAAGACCCATACTTTTCTGGCAAAATTCTGGGAAAATTAAATTCAAGGATACAGAGTAATGTTAATGTCAAACATTACTTGAACCACAGAGGAGTCTTTATGATTTTAGGATGGTTTTAGGAAGCTGAAGACATGACAGGATTAAACTCTGGCATTAATATTCTTCCCTATTTATTTTGCAATATTTTGGCACAAATTCATCAAGAATGCCCTTTCAAAAATTTCATTTTATTTATTCCTCTTTTTTGTGGCTCAGGTAATTAAATATTTGGGTCCTGAACAGATACAGTACAGTAAAACAATAGTCTTCAAAGGCCAATGGAATCGTGGCTCCGGCACTACAAATCAAAGAAGTAAAAACCACACGTTTGCAAGAAAAAAAACACTTGGTGGGAGACCAGAACTAACCAGAAATAAAAATAAAAAAGCAGCAGACAAATAAGACAAAATGGAACAGATGAAACAAAAAGAAGATAAAACTCTGGTGCTCGTAGGGAACAGAGTGTGGGTGCAAAACCTTTGGCAAGGCTGAGTGTCCAGGGTCATTGATTTATTCCAACCAATCAAAACCCAAAAACACAAGAGACCAGGAAAGATCACATACTACTGATACGAGGCCCAGGGGAACACATCCAGGGTGTGGGGGGGCTTTGACTACCTTGAGGGGGGAGCAGGATGTCGTAGTCTGAGGGTGTCCTGTTGTGGGGGGCGCGTGGCAGCAGCCCAAAGTCAAACTGAGCACCTGAGGAGCACAGGGAAAGGTTAAAGCAATCAGGGGCGCCCCCTGCTGATGAGGCAAGGTGCGGCATGCCAAGCGGGAGCGGCAGCCAGCCTTACCGTTTTCCACAGTCTTGTGCTTCCTCCCATCACCGACATGTTCAGAGGAGCCGTTGGTCACCTGGCCATTCTCCAGACCCCTGGAATAAACAGGAGCCCCACAGGTGAGAGGCCCATCCTACACCACAGCTCCCTTCGCCTTCCTTCACCCCCAGCCAGGCAAATCTCCCTGCAGTAGCCTAGCTGACACTCTTATCCACACCAAATCCTCAGATTACATCCTGGTGATCTTAGCCATCCTGCCCCCTGCTGGCCACACAGTTCCTGATGCTGGACATAGGCCACAGACAGCAGGAGAATCTGTTACCTGGAGGGAACCCGGACTGCGACCGAAGGCTGGATCAAAACCACAGCGTGAGATGACGGGATCTGGTACTGGTCTTCCTCCCAGTCCGGTGCCACCCGCGGCCTCTCGGTGAACAGGTTTGCAAATGGGTTGGGGGTTCTGAAAGGCAGACAACTAAATCATTACGGGGGCAGGGGGAGTAACTACCAACAGGGTCATTAGTAACGCAGAAGCCAAGGTGAGTCGTCGTTTCATCAAATAGGACACAGTCAGAGCCCCGAAGCCCGGCGTATGGATCATTCACGCGATATCCGAGATCATCTGCGGCCCGAGAGCAGAGGACCAATTACAGACTCGCTGACTGTGATATACTGAGGTATTACAGCAACCAAAGTCTGAAAAAATAAACTAAGATCGCTGAGGCTGAGGGAGACCTTGAACATAAAAGACAGAGATACTACAACCGTAGATAAAACTGTCCTTTGGATAAAGGGCCAGAGATAAATTAATTCAAGTTTTATCCAAGTTTTTAAAACCTAACAGGGACGCACACTGCTTGACCGAGTACTGACAGACAAAGGGGGGTGGATTCGGCTTGACATCCCCTCCCAGTGTCACAATCCTCCCCCGCCATCATCCTTGCCCCCTGCTGTCCACACCCAGCATTCACTCCCATCCGACCAACATCTGCTCCAACCTAAACCTAAAAAAAACAACAATTGGCATCGGACGAATTGCAGTGGATTCTGGGTGGTCTGAGGCTCAGCAAACACACCCAGCGCCCACTTCTCTGCTCAGAAATATTTTCCTTAAAATGGAGGATGCGAAATAAATTGTTTATGAATCCAGAAAAAAAAATCCCACTCCTCAATCAGCAGAGTTATCATTAGTGTCAGAAAACCGTGTCGAAACGCCTTCGACCAGAACCGCTGCTGAACGGACTGCTGGCCAGAACTGAATGACCGTCTGCCAATCTGAGACGGATTATTCATCTGGGAGATTGGGAGCCAGACCCATTACTTTACCGATCACCTCACTGCATGGTCATAATTACAATTAATTAATAATTGAAATTCTGTTACGGCTGTCAGTGCGGTCCAGCATTAAAGTGTGCCGGTAAACCTTGCCTTTTCCAAATGCAATAAGTGCAAAAGAGCAAATAAATCCTGGTTCTTTAATTCGGCTTATCATACGCCTTAAGTAACCTGTCTGCAAGGTCTTAAAGGGGCAAGCAAGCTGTCCATTAGCGCAACTTTGAAAGTTTTTCGGTGGCTCTCATTAGCGGTTCTGAGTCTCCTCCGAGGACCAAGATCTCCTGCTGTGTTCCAGGAGGGGGCAGCGAAGCACAGGGTCCAGATGGCCTCCTGGGTGGGGTGTGGGGGGGCTTACTTTTGGGTGAGCGCAGGAGGGGGCGGGGAGTGCCGCATGGGGGGGACGTCGTACTCCTCGCTGGTCAGGGGCCCATTGGGGAAGGGCTGCAGGAACAAGAGGAGACGGGTTAGAGACTGGAAGGCGGGGGGCTGTTTCTCAGGCCAGACACGGCAGAGATAAGGCTCTCATGGCCGGAGATCGATACACACACCCCCCCCCCCAATGGATTAACAGCCCAAGGACACAAGGGCTGTCAGGCAGGCAGTGGCAGGACACAGCTCCACGCTCCCAGGCTGATTAACCTCCCCACACCCATCTGCACATGCTGGTTTCACTCCCCGATTCTGGAAGCTTCTCTGGCTGTTGGACGAGCTGGAGGTGGACAGCAAATGTGCCAGGTTGATGGGTCAGGTGTGTCTGACACCCCCTGGCTGGGCCACGTTAAAATAATGACCTGGAACAAGCAGGGGTAGGAGCACTGACTGGGAGGGCGAGGCCAGAATCAGCAAACAGACTGGGAACACTAGAATAGGATGAACTGAATGTCCTGGTGCTTCAGCATAAACCTGGTCCCGTGTCCACTGGGTGTGAATCTCGCTCCCTGGGGATAGGGGGTAATCTCAGAGCCAAGAAAACATGGGGGGGCCAAAAGAAACATTCATCTAACGGCTGTCCCTTGAGCGCCGGGTAACAGGAGTGTTTTGGGAAGCCCAACCCCCCCCCCCCCACCGCCACGTCGGAGGGCAATGACCGGCACCACAGTCGGCGAGCGTACAGCCAACCGGCTGGAAACACCATGTTCTGCCAAAACTCACAGCCCAGAATAACGAGAACGCCGTTGTTGCTAGGTAACGTGGCCGCGAAAGTGGGCTGCTGCTTTCTTGAGTCGTTGTCGCGGAAACAGTGGTGGGCCATGTCCCTCCCCCACCCCACCCCCCATGCTCACCTTAGCCACGTCGGCTAGCGCCTCCAATCTGTGGTGCTGCCTGCCGAAGCCACCATCACCGGGGGCACAGGGCACAGGCCGTCCGTTGAGGTGGGAGGGGGCAGCATGACCCAATTTCGGGGAGCGGTCAACCGCCACCAGGGGGCTCTCTTTGGGACACCAGGGTTCAGGGCCCGGCTGTGGGTCACGTGGCAGGCCCGCACCGGGGAGGGGGCCCCAGGCTGCCCGGCCATCTGGGGGGATCGGAGCCGGCCTCTCAGGGGGCGGCGGCGGGGGTGGGTCACGCAGGGGCGGGGGTGGAACCGGGAGGGGCTTGTCTGGCTTCCTAGACATCCCAGGAGAAGACTGGAGAGGAAAGGGGCGCAGTCATAAGAGGGGCGGGGTTATGGAGACTATAGGGCAGTGATAATCACAGGAGAGGGCGGGGTTATGGAGACTATAGGGCAGTGATAATCACNGGAGAGGGCGGGGTTATGGAGACTATAGGGCAGTGATAATCACGGGAGAGGGCGGGGTTATGGAGACTATAGGGCAGTGATAATCACGGGAGAGGGCGGGGTTATGGAGACTATAGGGCAGTGATAATCACAGGAGAGGGTGGGGTTATTCAATGACAGAGTGTAGCCACCCAGAGGGCGATACGCACCTTGGGGGAGCCGGTGGGACTGGCCGACGGTGAGCGGATTGCCCCCTTCTGGATGAGATCCAACCGGGGTGGCACCGGGGGCAGGCTGAGGTGCTGCATGCTCGCTGGGTCCTGCAGTGGCTTCCGCCGATGGGTCCCCGGGGACGAGCTGGGCGACATCACCGGGGAGTTCTGGCGGTCCGTACACTGAGGAGGGGGCATGAAAACTGTCAGCCATGCCATTCCTGCCAAGTACCGGCTAAGTACCAACAGTTTACAGAGAGACGCACACATTCGAACTAGCTAATCCTGCCCTGCAGGTATAGTGGGAAGGCCTGGAATAACTGTTACCTTCCGGATGCTCTCCAGGCTGTTCATCACCAGCGGCTCTTCGCGGTCATCGTCGTCGTCCAAGTCCAGCATGGGCGAGGCGAAGTGTTCCATGAAGAAGCACTTGGCACCATCGTTCCGCGGGTCGAATGGGTCCACGATGATGGGCTCCGTGCCCTTGATCTCACACCGGCAAAATGGACAGCCCTGCCCATCAGAGTCCTGGGGGACAGTGGGTATTGCTCCCTTATCCGGACAATAACTCAGAATAAATCACCGAGCGGTATGGTTATAATTTTTGGCATCCATAAGGAACCGCTTGTGCACAGGGATGAAGGCCAGGAGAAGATAGAACAGCTGTTACTCTGTTGGACACATGGTCTTAGTCACCGTAACCTGAAGGTTTGAACAGAACAGCATTTACTCCCCCACCCCCCAACCCCACTAAAAGAGGAACATTTGGCTAGGCACACTTCACGCTCAAAAAAATAAATAAATAAATAAATAAATAAATAAATAAAAACTTGTGTTTGCAAGCTAACGAGAGAGCCGCTTGGTTTGAATGCACCACAAGCCGTTAATTACAAGATGGAACTTTAATGATGAACTTGCTCCCTCGCGCTAGTGGGTTTTTATTCCTTTAAACGTGAGAACGAGAGGTGCCATCTGGAACAAAGCTTTTCCGAGACATCGGAACATTGTCGGAAATGCTAATCCTAATTAGCCACAAGAGACAGTCACATCCCGACTTGGAGAAGGTGTTGGTCACACTACTGACATTACGAAAGGACTCTGCCATGGCTTCGAGGGAAAGAGCTCGCTGCCTTTGCCTCTCCTGAAACACGCCATTCCCAACACAGCACAGGTGCTTCCGTCATTCCGCTCACACCTCACGGAACATCTTTTTCCCAGATTGGTGGGGAAAGCAGTGAATTTTGCTGTGGTGTTGGGAGGCTAGAAAAATGCTAAGGAACCGAGGTTTTGGGTCAGGAGGAGCCAAAACAGAGGAGATGAATCTGAATGCGAAAGAGGGGTCAGTGGTGAGTCTATTCGGCCCAATCTCCAGCCCATCCTGGCTGTCGTGAGCCCAGAAAGCCTCTCCCATATAAAGCTTAAATAAAACACAAGAATGCTTCACACCTACATTTTTGTGGAGGAAAAGTCATTGATTGTGTCGCCCCTATACCAGTTGGCCAAGAAATGTTTGCAGTTAACTGATGGAGATCAACTATCACCAGGGCGATGCTGACGAGCTAGCGAGTCACAGCCAAGTCACGGAGAGTCATAGCGCGCACGGTTCTGAGCTGAGCCTGACTGCCAACGCACAAAGTGACATCTAACTAGGCCAGAGGAAGCCAAATGGACACTGTTTATGCCTGCAGAGCCTCTCTGTACCACTGCTCCTCATCATTGAACTTTATTCCCCCTCTCAGATAAACAAACATTTGTTTTTAACGCGAGGCACATGACTTCATCAGATGGAAATGGGTCATCGACAGATCTATGTTTACATTTTCCCAAGATGTGGAGGCAGTGACACCTGTCCATCTGACCCCCCCCTGTTGGAGATGTGGTCTCCTACATCATGAGTCCTCGACCACAAGGTTGTTTCGACCAGGAGCCATGAAGCAATTACACATATTTAAGCAGTATCAAATTGATGTGACATGTCTGCTTCAAGGGCCGCCAACTGCAGGCAGCAGTGAGGGGGTCTGCCTAATAGGTGGCCAGATACTGCCTGTTTTTTCCCCTCTAAGTGCAAGGGCGCCCCCTACCTGCCAGGCAGTGAGGCACGAAGTGCACATGAGGTGTCCACAGGGTTCGATCTTCACATCCTTGTCATTTTCGGCGCAGATCTTGCACAGCTGAAAGGTGGAACCCATCTCGCAGTACAGCTCGTACTGCTCCTGCGTACATGAATGGGAGAGGGGGTTGAAAAGGCGAGGGGGGTCAGTCACCCATTAGTTAAAACAGCAAAAGCCCCACTGACCCCAGGAATGCACACGGAACAGAGCCATGGACACATGGCGTGAGATTTACCCTCAGACAAGGCGCTGACACAGTGTCACTACATCGACTTCACTGCATCAAGAATTTAACAGCCACCACCTGCTGGGGGGGGGGGGGACTGGGGCATCACCGACCTGTGTGACTTTGATGTGGTCGTGAGGTGTGGGCTCACACAGCCCAGTCAAGTCGGGGTTATAACTTCGGCCATCCGGGAAAAGGTAGCTGGAAATAAAAAGATCACATTTCGTCAGGTGGGAAGACGCCACAGGTGGTGCTGGGGCCCGAATCATGAACCCCTCCCCCCCCCACCGATTTTCACAGGTAATCACTCTGTGCCTCTCTGCAAGCCACCTCTCTCAGTGCTCAGCCAAGTGTGTGTGTGTGTGTGTGTGTGTGTGTGGGGGGGTGTTGATCTATCGCCAGGCTGGAAAGCCATGTCCAGTGAGTTGGGGGGTGGGGTGGGGGGATTGGACTGGGAAAGGGAGGACACTGGCAGGTAAGCAAGGGAGAAAACTTCAAAACCTCAGAGAGTCAAACAGGATGTTCTGTGTGCCATTAGGTCACGCAGCTGTAAGCAGCTAAAAATTAAACAGAAGAGATTCTAACTGGGGAGGGGGGTTATTAGTTAGAGAAACGGGTGGGTCTCTCTCAAGAGAAATGCATCCCACCCCTCAGATAAACAGGGGCTGGGCAGAGCCCCCTCCCCCCCCCCACCCCGAGCCAGGGGGGGAAAGCAGAACGATTTATTGGAAGCCTGCCCTTCAGATGGGCAAGATTTGCAC